GAGGAAGAGATTAAATGTACACTTTAATAACCTTTTCTCTACCCTCTCAACACCCTACTGTAAAATCCCAGCAGGTCAGTCTTTTAGCCAGGTTGTCAGGATAACGTTTGGCAGCACTGACAATGTTGGTCATGGGCTGTAGTTTGTAGTTCATGTCTGCTGTGTTTCTAGGCTGCTGCATAGTTTTCTAACCCTTAGCAGTGGGTGGTTGTTTTACTCACAAGTAGTGGCTTTTCCACTCAGACACAAAATACAGAAAGGACTGTCTTCCTGCTTGTTGGTGTAGCTCTTCCCTTGCCTGCCCTCACTGGTGCCTGACAGGGGTTTTGGAAGGAGCTCCCTTGAAGTAAAATGCCAGAATAAATACTGGGTAAACCTTGCAAGACATTTGGCTAATAGAACAAGTATTTTTGAAATTTTTAATCAATGTGGACTCTGATGCTTTTCTTTCATGTAGCTTCCTATACCTGACCCTGGTTCATCTTTCTCAGTTTATGTCATCAGCACTTTTCTGGAACAAATCTTTTTTAAGCCCATGATGTTTTCTAGCTAGTATGCTTGTTTTTTTTTTTATCTGCCTATAATGGAAAAGTAAATAAAACCTTGGTTTCCTACAGGCCAGCTAGCGAGGAGTTAATGGCCTCCAGCCAGGTCAGGCACATTGAAAGGTATTGTTTTTAGGTACAAGCTCTTAATTCAAGGTTTTATGTGTTTAATTATGTATGTGTAAAGTGCCAGTCTGCATGTCTCTCAGGCCCAGCCTAGCTTGGAAATAGTAACTACAAGAGCATATAGAAAGTGCCATGGGATGAGACTTAACTCTTCAGATGTACAGCCTTTATTCTAAGACCCACGTGGTGGGGAATTACATCCCAGTGGGGATAACAGAAGCAGCCTGTTAACTGTGGAAACATCTCAATTAAGAAGAAATAAAATGGAAGAGCCTAAAGCAGGCAGAAAGGGATCATTAGGGCAAATATGTTGTAGCAAAGAGGACACTGGACTGGCAAGAGGGGAATTGGTTTCTAAACCTGACTTTATGACTGCACTTCTCGGGGGCCTTTGCCCCCACCTATACAGTGTGGAGGTTGGACAGAACTCTAACAAAAACAATCAGATGTTCAGTAGTTAGTCTGTACATTCACAAATAAGCCCCCACCCAATTACAATATATATTATGCTTAAGTAATAACATAGCGTTTCACCCTAATGCAACCATAAAAAGATACATCAATATGCTTGTAACCTTAGCCTTTAAGGTTTCAACAACTTAAGGGCCAATCAGTTGACAAAAGGGAGAAAACTCCTTTTAGGTTTTAGAGAGGACCCAGGCCCCTCAGGTGGGGATCACTACCAGTACCCTAGCAGGTTACTTCAAGGAGGAAGGGGAGATTTTTCTTTTAACCAGAGTAGCTCTAATTTTGGATCTTCTATATATTTCGGGATTCCACGTTAATATTTTGGGGTGAGGGAGGGGGAAGTTCTGTGGCTTTTCAAAGGTTTGGCGATTTCTGATAGATGCTATATAAAAGAAACCTTTTACATGACCCATTTCATCATTCCGTGATACATCCAGCCTTCTCTCTTCTCTACATATGTAGAATTTTCTCTTTTAATGTAGCACCACATGCAGTGTAGTCAAGAGTACGAGTCTATCACTCTCACCTTTGGGGAGCTATAGGATGGAGGCAAGAAGTCCTGAGAAATGTACTCAGAAGTGATGTCAGTGGTTCCTAGTTAGGAGGTGCTAATGGGAAGGGCCTGCTACTCTTGGAGAACTGTGAAGTTTTTAGCAGAATGGCTTTGATGGCAAGGAGGTGAAATGGAACCAGGAAGAGGGTTTTTAAAGCCACGTCACCCCTGCTATCGCAGAACCAGAGTACTCAAACTGCCATATGACCCGTCCCCCAGGGGTCTCTTCTTTGGGCTCTGAGTTAGAACGGATGCCTTGCCTGAGATGTTTGTTTTGCTCTTTTGAAGCAGGGTGGAGAATGCCTATTTGTGAATTAGTAAAGAACTGGAGTAAGAAGACGACAGCAGAAAGGTTTTAGAGAGTGGATGATCCTGCCTTAAATTCTCATTTGTAGCTAGATCTGGATAAAATAAAATATGTCATGTTGAAAAACCTATGTAAAGCAATGGGAAACAGAAATTTTGGTTTTTTAAAACCACAATTTATTCACCTACTGCAGTTTGGCCCACACCCTTCTTGACTGTGATGTCAGCTTCCTAACTTCAAACCACATGTGTATGTGAGTCTAGTAAAATAGGTTGCTAGTTGGTTTTTATTATGATCTTTATTTTTAGTCACTTGGAACTGTTAAGTTTCTTAGGCATGCAGAGAAATTCATCCCTTTGCTCAAACTTCTTTAGTTTAGTCTTTAAGAGAAGATTCTAAATCCTATAGGACCTAATTTATTTCAGGACTAGAAATCCACTGATAAAAGATCACCATAAAGCTTAACAGTCTTGAAATCCACACACTAAAAATAAAAAGGAATTACGAAAATAAACACAAATCACAGTTCTCAATCTGATCTAGAATTTGCAGGGACATTAATAACATTTGACACTCCCCTCCCTTTTTCTTTAGCACCAGGGAGAGTACCTGTAGAGAGATATGAATTCCTGAGGGCTTATGTCACTTAGTCACTTGATGTGTGAGCAGATACATATCATGTAGGCCTTGTTTTGCTTTGACATCCTTATGGTACTGTTACATAAGCTGCTTAAAGTATCAAGCCTCTTTTAGTTTTGAAGAGGCCAATTAAAAATGGCTGATCTTCCTTCTCATTTAGTCTTTCTCTTCCTCAATTTCCTTTTCTAGGTTTTCCCAGTTTGACTTCCCTTCTGACAGACTTTTATTTTAATTTTTTTAAATATATTTTTATTGATTTCAGAGAGAAAGGGAGAGGGAGAGAGAGATAGAAAGAAACATCAATGATGAGAGAGAATTATTGATTGGCTGCTTCCTGCACGACCCCCACTGGGGATAGAGCTTGTAACCCAGGGATATGCCTTTGACTGGAATCGAACCTGGGACCCTTCAGTCCACATGCTGATGCTCTATCCACTGAGCCAAACCGGCTTGGGACTGACAATTATAGTGAACAGAGCACCAGCCTGGGAACAAGAAGACTGGAGCCCTGCACTGCCTACAAGTGCACAGCTGTCTTTTCCCTTATCTGTAAAAGAAATGGTCACTGAGATGACCACTATTTTCTCCTTCATCTCTGAAATTCTCTGTTGGCATTTCTCCTTTTGCCTACTGTCTTACCTCTTCCCTCTTCCCTCCCTCAGCTACTCAGGATGCATGTTGTTTTAAAAATACTCATAAAGTAAATGTAGTTGTGAGGAAACATCAGTAAATACAGTTGCTGGCAAGATATGGAGTATGGGAGTTCTTATTTTGGTAGTTTCTCACTTTGTTTGCCTTTCTTATGCCCTAGCTAAATATAGCCTACAGTTATAATATATTTTGTCTGCACAATTGTTGTTGCAAAATAAGACAATAATAGTTTCACCCATCAGAAAGTAAAAATGTAAAGGCTGGATAGTATCCATTATTGGTGAAGCTGTAAGGGAAATGCTTACTTTCACACATGGTTGTGGGAATGTAACTGGTGCATTGGTTTTGGAGAGCAGTTTGGCAGTATCAATATTAGTATTTTTAAAAGTACATATAAGTTGACTCAGTGATTTCAAAGGTCCCTAAAGAAACTTATATGCAAATATTAAGAGGCATAGTCAAGGATCTTCACTGATATATGGTTTGTAATAGCAAAGTATTGGAAATATCCTGTATTTCCATTAAGAAGGTAATGTATATATAAATTTTTTTCATATATGTTTAATGGAGATATTTATCAATTAAATAAATAAATACCTTAATATTTTTCAATTTTATATTGATAAATAATATAAATATTTATATATATTTTTATCATACAGATATTAAAAATTGTACAAAGAATGAAGTTGATCTGTAGGTACTAACATATTTTAAATAGAAAACCAAGACACAGACCATATTTTAGCTATGATCAATTTATATAAAAACAATTATTTATATATAAATGATTACTATATATTATACATAACATATTATATAAGTCATATATATAATTTTATAATATTTATATATAAATGGCTGGAAGGACACATACTAAATTGTTAATAGCAATATCCTTCTAAGGAGGAAAATGGTATAAGAATGGTGAGAGAAGGAGAACTTCATTTTTTACCATATATACTCATTTTTTAAATTTTAAAAAAGCATTTATGTATTACTGATATAAAAATGAACAAAAGGGAAATAAAAAAGGAGGATAAAGAATTACTTCCTGCCCTAACCAGTTTGGTTCAGTGGATAGAGCATCGGTCTGCGGACTCAAGGGTCCCTGGTTTGATTCTGGTCAAGGGCATGTACCTTGATTGCGGGCACATCCCCAGTGGGGAGTGTACAGGAGGCAGCTGATCGATGTTTCTCTCTCATCGATGTTTCTAACTCTCTATCCCTCTCCCTTCCTCTCTGTAAAAAATCAATAAAATATATTTTTTAAAAAAGAATTACTTCCTGCCCAGCTGGTGTTGCTCAGTGGTTCAGCATCGACCTATGAACCAGGAGGTCGAGTTTCATTTCCCAGTCAGGGCATATGTCTGGGTTTCAGGCTCAATCCCCAGTGTGGGGTGTGCAGGAGGCAGCCAATCAGTGATTTTTTCTCATCACTGATGTTTCTCTCCTTCCCCCTCTCTCTGAAATAAAAAATATATATATAAAAAAGCATTACTTCCTAAAAATGAAAGAGGCAAAAAATTAGCAGGAAATTCATTAAAGGTATCAGGGGGGCGTTGTTTGGAGGATAGTCCCAAAACTTTAGGACTGGATAGGAGCCATGATTTGTGCTTTGGCATGGCTGCCTAGCACTTACTGTAATAGCTCTAACCTCCCATTTCTTTGTGTGCCCAACTCATTCTTCTTACTTGTCTGTGCGCTACAGGTAACTCGGGACCAGATGAAGGTGTTTATACAGCAGGAATTTAAGAAAGTTCAGAAAGTGATTGCTGATGAGGAACAGAAGACCCTTCATCTAGTGGACATTCAGGAAGCGATGGCCACAGCTCATGTGACTGAGATTCTGGCAGACATCCAATCCCACATGGACAGGTTGATGACTCAGATGGCCCAAGCCAAGGAACAACTCGATACCTCTAACGAAGCAGCTGAGCCAAAGGCAGAGGTAAGGAAGACTGCCTACAATTACTAGTAGCAGGACAAGTAGGAGGAAACTGACTGCCATTTTTGTTAGCTCTGGAAATGCCTCTTGTGGTCCTTAAGTGTGAATGAATGGGAAGCCAAACTCTCTGATATGAGAGATGATGCTCTAACCACTGAGAAAAACCAGCCTGGGCAGTCAAGCATCTTTTCTCTGAAAGTTTTGCTAAGTCAATTAGGCTGATTATCGTTAATTAAGTCAACTTAGACAATAACACAAGGGGAGGTGTGATAGGGTCTGAGTGTTTAGACTGGTACGTATACCGTATGGAAGCACTGGCCCTGGGAAGTACTAGCCAGCACCGGGGCCTGGCCAAATATTAGTCCACCATGACTTAAAGGAATATAGTCACTGGGGGCAAATACTAATCACAGTTACTAAGGAAAGCCAGAAATCAGAGCCAGAGGAGAAGGCTGCTGACAGGTCCCAAGTTGGGAAATGAGCCTATAAATGGAGTAATCGTAGGCATGAGGACTGGGCTGAATGAGAATAAGTCAGGAAGTGGAGCGTAAAGCAGGTCAGAATGAACGGTTTTGGTCTGATTCTGTGGATAGTGAAAGGATTCCTTGGCTCGTTTTTATATGGAGCCAACTTTATAAATGGGGGCATTACTGCTGGATTAAGAGAGGCGTGTCGGTTAGGACAGTGTGAGGATCAAGAACAGACTCTGAAAGAAAGACGATAAATGTTGAGTCACTACAATGAATATAGTCATTATGTTCAGTGTTATTTTCTCACCGGAATAAAGGGTCTCAGACATTTTACCAAACAACATGTGCAGGCAGTTAGAATCTATTTCTAAAATTAATTTAAGGCAGCTAACATTTTAAAAATACATAAAATTTATACCATTTTTCAGCCAGTGGGGAGAGGCTGTTGTTCATCAGATTTCCTAGCATTCTGTTGAAAATTCTCGTCAAGCTTATGCCAGATGGAAACCCAGGAGAGTCCTGTGGACTTTTCAGGACTCAGTAAGCTCAGCTTTAACTAGCAGTCTTGCCTGGGGACAGGAGAGCCTAGGCACAGAATAAGCAGCCAATAGACAGCCAAGATATAACCTAGGAGGCAGGTATTATCTAAGGCATTCTGACAGGAAAGGTGGGACCACTGGACAGTTATCTACTTCACTCACCCAGGGCTCTTGATTAATCTTTATGAATGTGTAAAAGAACAGAATAGCTCTTGTTCTTTTCACTTCATCCTCCTCAGAATTAAGACAGTGTGTGTCTGAAAAGGTTTCTAGATAGGAAAGAGAGCACTTTGTAGCCATCAGTTCATTTAATCTCATTATCTCCATTTTACAGATTGGATACTGAGATGCAGAGAACTGCAGAGAAACTGACACAACAGTGTTAGTTAGTAGAAACATGGAACCAGGATTCTAATTTCAGTCTATCCTATTCTAGTGCCTGTGCTTTGTCCCTACTCTATTAAGGAGAATCAGTGTCCTAGGACCTTTTAATTGTAGAGGTTGTCACTTTTAAAAAAATGTTTTAGAGAGAGAGGATGGGAGGGAGGGAGGGAGGGAGGGAGAGGGAGAGGGAGAGAGAGAGAGAGAGAGAGAGAGAGAGAGAGAGAGAGAGAGAGAGAGATATGCAAGAGAGAAGCATCAATTTGCTGTCTCCTGCACGCCCCCTACTGGGGATCAAGCCCAAAACCCAGGCATGTGCCCTGACCTGGGATCGAATTTTCAACCTCTTGGTGCATGGAATGACACTCAACTAACTGAGCCACACTGGCCAGGGCCACTTTTATGTTTTTATAAACAAAAAATTAAACCAGAGTTAAGTCAAGGGATCCATGCCAAATTCTCCTCAAATCGGACCCTCACATTTATTCTGTATGTTGATTAAGTTGTTTTTCTTTTTCAAAAATAAAATTTAATTGAGAAATAGCCCCTTCTCTTGTATTTTCATTTCAATAAATGTGTGTTGCCCGCCCCAACATTAACTGTACTATATGGCTAACTCTGATGGAATGACTCTTAGGGAGGGAACATAGCACACAGCACATGGCACATTTTTTAATACTTGACTTTGGCAGAGAATTTTATAAACATATAACTAAATTCAGGCCAAAGAAGAAAGGAGAGGAGGAAGGGAGGCAGACATAATTATAAGGCAATTCTGAATAGGTCAGCAGACATTCAGAGGGTTGCTAATCTTGCTAGTAAAAGTAATGTACATGCTATTCACGCTATCTGAAAACGCACATCTCTAGCCTGAAAGCCCAGCCTTTAAGATCAAACCTCATTTGGAAATTTTTCCTCCCTTGCAGACTGAATGGGGTGGTCCTCTCTGTCCTCCACATCTGTATGGCTCACACTTCTGGACTAGTATTTAGAACAGAAAACCAATAGAGACAGCATCTTTCAGGGTCTCCCTCTTTGGATTTCAATTCCTTGGGAATGGAAACTGTGTTGTTCATCTCTTTTTTCACTGCACCTAGCACAGCACATGGCACATTTTTTAATACTTGACTTTGGCAGAGAATTTTATAAAAATATAACTAAATTCAAGCCAAAAAATGAGAGATTTTAAAAACCAGTGATGAAATGTACACAGCTGTAATCGTTCTGTGGACAGTTTACAAAAGTATTCACTAAAAATGTCTATACCTTTGATTTAGTAATTGCCTGCAACATTCCATGCAGCATTATAAATTATAGTTCACAGTTGGAAATAATTGAAATGAGGTAAAAGTGAAATTTGTATCACTGACGTAGGATTCAAACATTATGTTTATGAAGAATTTCTAATACTACAAGGAAAATTTTAGATATGATCTTTAAAAAAAATGGAGTTAGGAGATGAAAGTGTTAACCAGCCTTATTGGGGTAATATTTTTCAATACATACATGTATCAAATCATCACACTGTACACCTTTAACTTACTTATGTTATCCTATATAATAAAAGGCTAATATGGAAATTATCCCCTCAGGAGTTTGACTGGGAGACTGGGAGTTCGATTGCTCACTATGATGTACGCTGACCACCAGGTGGCAGCGTGGAACACTGCAGGCGACCAGTGGCAGTGGGGCACTGAGGGAGCGAGGGCAGGAGGAGGCCGGGAGGCCATGAGGTGGGGAACCGCGTGGTAGCATCCCTTTGGTGGTGAGGGAAGGAGGAAGGAGGTGGGGAGGCTGGGAGGCGGGGAACCTGACCAGCCCTGATCGCTGGCCAGGCCTAGGGACCCTACCCATGCACAAATTTCGTGCACCGGGTCTCTGGTTTATCTATAATACTCAACTAAACTGTTAAAACACACACACACACACACACACACACACACATATGCAAAAATGGGGCAAATGCAATATCTGATGATAACTATCAGTGTATGTTTGCCTTCTGCTGTGTATATACGTTTTAAATATCCTATATAATAAAAGACTAATATGCAAATCAACTGAAAGGTGGAACACTAGTGGAATGACCTGTCACTATGACATGCACTGACTACCAGGAGGCAGACGTTCAATGCAGGAGCTGCCGCCAGCCTGTAGGCCCCAGGCCAGCCAAGGCGGGTGCCAGCAGGGGCCCCTCCAATTGCTCCACGCCCTGCAGAGGGAGGTGACCAGCAGTGGTGGAGGCAGGGCTGGGGCCGGCAAGCGGGCGGCGCCAGGCTGGCCAAGGCAGGTGCCAGCGGGGGCCCCCCAATCGCCCCACAAGTCACCCCACAGATTGGCCCTGATCGCCGGCCAGGCCTAGGGACCCTACCCATGCACGAATTTCATGCATCGGGCCTCTTGTTCTATAATGATTAATAAAGCAATAGCTTCACTTATTTGAAGAGGGGAAAGACCACATCTTTTTAGACTTGTGGGACTAGTAATGAAATTCTCCCCCTACCCTGTATTCTATAATGTGGCCCAGAAAAATTTTATTAAAAACACATGTTTAAAAAGAAATGTCATCAGGAAACCTGTAATCTTTGGACTCCTTCATCCAGAAGCTCTGTGATTCTACTTGGTCTAATCACACTCATCTGTACTAAAGGTTTCATAAAACAAACACACTGTTAATGGGCTACTTTTAGAGTAATCTTCATGAATCAACAGCAAGTAGCACTTGGGCAGGTGGGATATCTAGACTTTTTAAAGTTTATTGAGATATAATTTACTAGAGGCCCGGTGCACAAATTCATGCACAGGTGGGGCCCCTCTGGGTGGCCTGCAGGGATTGGGCCAAAACCTGCAGTCCAACACTGCCTGCAGCTCTTCTCTGCCGCTCCTGCTCATCCCGGCCCCACTGTGCCTGCAACAGGCTTGCGCCTAATTAGTTCCAATCAGGAGAGGCTCACGCTGATGCAGCAGCAGTCGACAGCCATGAGCCCTGCATCTGGTGCCCTCCCGAGGTGAGTGGCCTGTGGGATCAGGCTGAAAACGGCTCTCCAACATCCCCCGAGGGGTCCTGGATTGCGAGAGGGTGCAGGCTAGGCCAAGGGAACCCACCAGGCCAGGGAGGGACCGTGGGAGGGCTCCAGGGAGTGTCCTGCCCATCTCTCTCAGTCCCGATTGGCCAGATCCCAGCAGCAAGCTAACCTACCAGTCCGAGCATCTGCCCCCTGGTGATCAGTGTATGTCATGTCGACTGGTCGACTGTCTGCCCTCCGATGGTCAGTGTACATCATAGCAAGCGGTTGAGTGGCCTTAGCATATCATTAGCATATTACGCTTTGATTGGTTGAACAGTCGACCGGACACTTAGCATATTAGGCTGTTATTATATAGGATAATACCATAAAATTACCTGTTTTAAGTTTATGTTCAATGACTTTAGTAAATTTACAGTTAGGCAGCTATTATCACAAACTTGTTTAAAAACTATATATATATATATTATATATACATATATATATATGTAAAGTTACATATATATAGCCATTGAATTATGACTATTTTTCCTTCTTAATCTCTTTAAAGTATATGCCTATTTAAGCAAAAATTTTAACTGTCTTGCAGTGTTCATAACATGTAGATTCTGTAATATTCGATACTATAACAAAGAACATGGAAAGAGGATAAATTGGCCTGTAGAGTTTCAAGGCGTCTACATTTAATTTTAAGTGATACAATTTAATTTTATGGAGCCTCAAAATTTAAGGATTTCTATCATAATTCTTATTAGAAGTCACTAAAAATAAGACAAAATCATAAAGCTAAAAGGCCAATAGATATATTAAAATGGAATTCAGTGTTTCAAAAACCCAAAAGAAGGTAGGAAAAGACAACAAGAGGAACAAAAACAGAGGAACAAACAGAAAACAAATCATAAAATGGTAGAGCTAAATTTAACTATATTAATAATAACATTGAAATGTTAATGGACTGTACATTTCTATTAAAAGGCAGAGATTATCAGAAAGGATAAAAGAGTAAGACCTAGTTACACGCTGCCTAAGAGAGACAGACTTTCACAATACGGACAGACTGAAAGCAACTGGATGGAAAGAGACATACGATGAAATCAGTAAGCATTAGGCTGGATTGGCCCTGCCAACATCAGATAAAACAGATATCAAGACAAAGAGTATTATCAGAGAAAAAGAGTAACTTTTCATGATGATGAAAGGGTCAGTTCTTCAGGAAGATGTAACAGGCATTTGCATGTATTTGCTTATGATAAGACTCAAAATATCTGAAGAAAAATGGACAGAATTAAAGGCGGGATGGATAATTCAATAATTATACCTGGAAAGTTAATACCTCTTTCTCAGCAGTTGATAGAATGCACACAAGTCAGTAAAAATCATAAGTTACCTGGACACGTAATTAATATTTAATAGAACACTACACCCCAAGAAAAATCTAGTTTGGACAAGAAAGAGGCTCATTGAAATAATTTTTTTATCCCTGATAAAGTTAGGATCAGAGGATGAAATACCTGGAAAAATAACACTCACACATTGTTTTTGCAGAGTGAACAAGAAGAAACAGAAACGCCATTGTTTGGCTGAGAGTTATCTGGATCATCAAATGCCAGAACTACCCTTTCACAGAGAAAACCAAGGTCCAGATTAATTCATTAGCTTGCCCAAGGGCACAGCGCTAATAAACAACAACAGAGCTTGGACCAGAATCCCAGTTTCCTAAGGCCCAGCTCAGTGCCCTTTTCACGACGGTGTTCTGTATATTAGAGTTGCTGTGTTTCTCTTTGGAGCAAAAAAATGCAAGACCAAGGCAGAAATGAGTCTTTGAGGGAAACCGCTTGATACCTTGGGAGCTGGTCAGCTTTTGCCTAAGACCCGCTGCTATTTTGGGATCTCAGTTTGCTCAGAACTAAATACTGCCAACCATACAAGTAAGACAGCAAAGCTATTATTTAAGCCTCCTAGATCTGCTTGCAAGGGCAAATGATCATTTTGCCTTTGTTGGGCAGTTTGAACACCGGATTGTGTTAGCCCTTGTCTTAGCCCCTAGACATCTGCTGATTTGTCTCTTGTTAACAATAAACACACACTTGGCTCTCAGGTTGGGAAAGGAAGTCTAAATCGGTTTCTTCCGATGCCAATTTCTAATGCTGTTTATTTCTGTTTCTTTCAGGGTGACGAGGAAGGACTCAGGTAAGATCACATTATTGCTGCTTGTCTGTTCTCAGAATTGAAGTAGAGTGACATTGTGGCCTTCTAATGCCCCGTGAGATATGGACAGCCAAGGAACAGCACAGAAAGGGGATCTCCATCCTAAGCCAGGGCTTTGAAGATCTTATTTTGTAAGATTCCCATCTCCCTCTCTTCCATGCCTTTTCCTGCCTGTAACCTTCAGATAAAGGTAGACTTTAAAGTATGTAATGGCACTAACTTTGCTTTATTCTTTTGTACATTCCAAGTATCTGTTCAGAAGAGGGGCACTGTATTTGAATGGTAATTAGACTCCCAGGTGGACCGACTAGATAAGTTTTTGCATTGTTCCTTCTTGATTGGAATTGGGTAACTTTTTTTTAATGGGCTCTGGACCCATTATTATTTATTTCTGACCTATGATATCTTTGTGGCCAATGCAAGACGCCTACACAATGAGTCCTAGATCATAGGAACACAAAATTTTGTTTAGGGAAAAAAGTGTTCCCTTGTGCTTCTGTATCACCATGTGAAATTTAAAAGTGAATTTCATTTTGGCCTCAGCCTCGCAGTGAACCTGGAGTTGGTGTACTTACCATCCCTGTCATTCTGCTCAGGTGGTGAGCACAGGCTCTCGGAAATGCAGTAGCTTTGCCATCAACACAATTGAGGGGCAAGAGTAAAATACAATGTCCAGATGGTCCCCTCTGCTCCGCAGGATCAAGGACTGCTAAGGCCACGAGGTATTAGAAAGGTCACCCAGGCCACTGCTGTTCAGAACTTTAGTTGTAGCAGAAGCACCCTTTTTTTCAAGCGGGCTTTAAGTGGAACTCCAATGCATAACAACAATTCTTGTCTGGTTAAAGTTGGGCCCACATCTGCTGGTGAGCCTCTTCTCTTCCTTACGATAGACCACAAGGGACTTCTGCAGAAACCTAGGTACCCTCAGAACTCAGTTTGAAAATCACTAATGTAGTTTAGGTTTCTCACTGAAAGAAGCTAAATGAATTGTCCAAGGTTACTTTACTGGGGAGCCAGGATTCAGCCCTTCTTTGTTTGGCTTTATTTGCAAAGCAACAAGTACAGTCCTTTATTTCCCCTTTCCTGAGCCCCACATCCTGAGCCTCTTTTTTCATGCTGAGTACTATTCCCACATCTGCATCTCCTGGTTCTTCCCTCCCTTGGGAACTGTGGTTCTCAGTCTAGATCTAGCTCCTTGTCTCCTATGGCAAAGCCACGAGTGCCCTGCTTTAAGCCTACAGAGCCTCAAGGAATCCCTTCCAACTTCATCTTCCAGCCATTCTCAGGAACACCCTCCCTCCCTCCCTCCCTCCCTCCCTCCCTCCCTTCCTTCCTTCCTTCCTTCTCTCTCTTCCTCCCTCCCTTTCTTTTCTTATGACCCTACTCTATGTGAGGCACTGTGCTATATCCTGGATAACTGGATATATAATGGTAACTACAACAGACATGGTCCCTAATCTTGTGGATCCTAAGTCTAGTGGGAGAGATGAGCATATAACCAGGCACCTATATGGGTGTGGGGGAAGTGCTATGATAAGGGAAGTTTTGGCTACTTTAATAAGGGCTCCTGCCCTAGCTAGTTTGGCTCAGTGGATAGAGTGTAGGCTCGCGGACTGAAGGGTCCAGGGTTCGATTCCAGTCAAGGCACATCCTTGTTTGCAGGCTCGATTCCTGGCCCTGGTTGGAGCACATGCGGGAGGCAACCAATCGATGTGTCTCTCTCACATCGATGTTTCCCTCTCCGTCTCTCCCCCTCCCTTCAAAAAAAAAGGGGGGGGATCCTAAGTGAGTCTTGGAGGAAAAGGGGAGGCTTACCAGAAAAGGTTATATATAAACAGAGGTCTGAAAAATGAGGCAGACACAGGTGGAGCAGGGGTAGAGGTTATTCTGGGGAACAACTTATGTAAAAACTCTAGACAAGAGAACAGTGGAGGCAAGAAAGCAGAGTCTAGGTCATTTAGGGCCTATAAGCCTCCTTAAGGTATTTGAGCCCTACCCTGCAGGCTGGGGGAAGACATTGAGGAATTCTAAGCACCAGAGCTTGGGAGACTAGTTAGACTATGCTCGTGAGGATGAAAGCCTAAATCAGTGACGGCGAACCTTTTGAGCTTGGCGTGTCAGCATTTTGAAAAACCCCAACTTAACTCTGGTGCCGTGTCACATATAGAAATTTTTTGATATTTGCCACCATAGTAAGACAAATACATATTTTTGATATTTATTTTATATATTTAAATGCCATTTAGCAAAGAAAAATCAACCAAAAAAATGAGTTCGCGTGTTACCTCTGACACGTGTGTCATAGGTTCGCCATCACTGGCCTAAATCATCATCTTGTCTAATTATTGACTAAATTGTCAGCATTTTGCATAGATCTTTGGTTTAGACACAGTCTTTACTTCATTGGCTGGCACGCCACCTCTTCTCCCAAGACTAGCTCTCTAGCTCCTTAAAATCCAGGCCAAGCAGAGCCCTAGACCTTTGTTTTCCTCCAGAACAAGAGTTCAAACAGGACCAGTAGAAAGAAGACACGTTAGAAGTGCAGTGTGCAGACTCCACAGGGTAGCAGTGGCACCTCTGTCTTTCGAGAACCTGATTAGAATGAACACTCTTGTCTGGATGGTCACATGCCAGTCTCGTTGATTGGAAGGATACAGGGCCCTTATGAAGATATTAACTCCCTTCAAAGGTACTATTCAGTGGGAGAGACAGGCTTTAGAATTTAATAGCTGAATCTTCGTGTCATTTTGAGAAGATAGTCATGAAGCATGGCGTTTCTTTACTAGCAACCACGATGTCAAGCTGTTTCCCCCAGCCAAGCTGCCATGGTGTCAGCGGGGATTCTGTTAAACTGGGACTTGACAGAACCGCTTTTTGGTACAATGAACACTTGAAAAGTATGTTCCAATTTGGCAGGAAGAGGAGTCAGATTTTCTTTTTAACCTTTAAATTCATACTTGTTGGTTCCATTCAGTTTGTTTGTGTTGAACTACCATTTGGCTCAATTTATTCCAGTTAGCACTTCAGGGCATTCTGCCTTTGATGGGAAAGTTCTCTTATTTTATGATAGACACTCTCCCTCTCAATAAGCCAAACAGAGTTTTGCTCCTGACGTTTCTTTACTGCTGACAGTATTAAATGAGGGTGTGAAGTGTAAGGGTGACAGAACGGGAAGCTTGGGTCTGCCTGCACAGGGGATGGAGGAGAAATTCATCTGGAGAGCCTGAGCCCCAGGTCTGCTTGGATTAGTGAGCCTGTGTGTCTTTGCCAGCATTCCTTCCCCACAGTCACATTCCCACAGTCTGCACAGAAGTTCAGGGAGCATTGGATTCCAAGCACTATTCCCGGTGGCAGGAACAAAGCAAGAGTCTTGCCCTGTTGAAATGTACTGGTCTGTAATAGATCTATGTTTTCTCTTTCCTTCTTACCAGCTGGAGTCTCCCTGCCTTCTTTCCTCTTTTTCAGTTTTGATTTCGCAAGCTGTTTGACATGAAGTGGCCAAATATCTGTACTTCTGGTCATATCTTTTTCTTGCCCTGAATTTGATTGTGTAGTTGTGCTGCTAATTAACAACAGTAATGATCAGAGCTACCATTTACTGAAGGGTTACTTTCTACAGTGTTTTATATGTATTCTCATTTCATCCTCACGTAAAGCTTTTAAACAGTTATTATCCTACTTGTAAAATGGGGCAATTAATGCTCAGAAACATTAGCTTGCCCTGCCTGGATCACACAGCTCGGAAGTGGCAGAGCTAGGACTTTAATGCAGTCTGGCTTCAGGGCTTGTGCCCTCACCCGCCATTCGGACTAGCTCCAAGAGGCCAGCACACTTCCCTGTGACCCCGAATGAAAGCCAAGAGGATTCACCCACAATCCTCAGAGGGTCCGTTTGGTCTTGCTTCTCTAACTTGGGAGATCTTACTTGCCTTGACATTGAATCACTGTGACCTCTGTTTTCTGTAAGCACTTCTCTTTTTAGCCTCTGGCATTATAAAGGGACATTTCTTCATTTGATCTTCGCACCGTGTCCTCTGAGCGTCAGCAGCAAAAGAGGTGCGTGTGGACTGCCTGAGGAGTAGCCAACCAAGCCTTCCTTTGGCCCCGCAGAATAGCTGCCTGTTGCCCTTCCATGTGGTCGTCTAATCTCCAAATCCTGGATACAGTGATATACAGTGATAGCGATGGCTAGGGTTCTTGGAGAGTGTGGGGGAGCAAGAGTCCTGATATGCAGAACAGGGATATTAACCGCTGTGGAGTCATCTTCTAAAAGGGTGCCTTTGAAACCCAGAGTGATTCTTTTTTTTTTTTCCAAGCAAAAAAGTAATTTGCACTTTGGGTGGCAATTTTCTGTCTTCTCTGTGCTATAATTGGAGATCTTGTGTTTGCTCCCTCACAGATTGGCTCCTTCTCTACTCCTGCAGGGAGCCTGCTGAGAAGTAATATATATTCCAAGAGAGGGGGTGGCAGTAGGGTCTGCTGCCTAGAAGGCAGTTGTGTAGTAGGAGGAAGTCAGAGGGAAGGACCCTTCAACTCTCGTGCTCAGAGGAGAAGGGAGCAAAATCAATATTAAAGTGTGATTTGCTGTTGAGATTTTCTGTGATTTTTTTTCCAAAGTAAGAGGCAAATGGCTTTGTAATAGTGACAACCATACTTGGGACTTCTGTAGAATTTTTCATCTTCAGAGCTGGCTCTCAATTCAGGCAAAAAGCTCCTGCTGAGATCAGTGTGAATCTGACCGTGCTGATTCTGTGATCAAACAGACAGCTAGTTCCAGAGGAGGAGGTGCTAAAACCCACAGGCCTACCTGCCTTTATGCTTGGTCTGCCTGTGACTGACGGTGACCTTGGGCAGGTCATCCAGCCTCTTTGTTTCTTTGTAGTCTGTTTTTATTTCCCTGCAAATATTAGTCTTTTCCCCAGTTTTTTGGAATATAGTTATATGGAGGAATATAGTCTTTTATCAAATGTGGCATAGAAAAAA